ATCCCCCCCCCCACCCTAACCCCCCTTCGGGGGGGGCCCAAACCGCGGTTTTTGGGGGGGGCAATTTTTTTCGGCCCCTTGTGAAAAAAGGAAAACCTTTTTTAAAGGGGGAGTTGCGGTTGGGGGGGGGGGGGGGGGGGGGGTGTACTCATAGTCGTGCATGCCGTAGTCGTTAACCATTGACCTCGCATTCCAACAAAGCCGAGACGGAGCACGCCGGGTTCTCACCGGACCAGGCTCTCACATCACCAAGCACGAAGCGCCGTGAGGTATTCGGCGAGTCGCATGAAGGGTGCGCTGCATCCTGCTAAGGGTGTTCGGCATCTTGTGCTTACTTCCTTGCTTATGGATGACAGCTGCGTATGACTTAATTTATTTTCTGGTGCTTTCACTTCCAGAGACAGTTGTAAGCGCTGTGTAACCGCCTCGAGGGTGCTTGACCAATTCAACACAACGTGCGATTATCCCCTTTGCGTGGAGTGAGGGTTCTCGACCCCGCACAACATGATCTACTCGACCACCATTATGGTTACCGCAAAAAAAAACACCAAAGGCAAAAAAGAAGGGTTAACCTGGTTGCCGAGCTCACGAAGTGATCGGCTTGTTTTTACAACATTGCTGCCAAGCGACGAAACCCCAACCCCGATGGCAAACACCAGGGGGGGCGGCCTGTTTTATAATGTCGTTGCCAAGCGACGAAAACCCAACCCCGATGGCAAACATCGTTGCGCTACGGCGGGGGGGGGGCGGGAGGGGCATCAGCAGGTACCCCGGACAGGAGGTAGGGCGTTGCCGCTGTGACGTCGTAGGTTGTACAACGAAAGAGACTAGTGCAGATAGACCGATCAATTCCCCTCAAGGCGAGATTGCCGACAACCATTTAGGTAGCCCGCACGGTGGTCCATGCACAACAATCAATATGCCCAACATTCTCCCATCAATACGTGCATTTTCCTCGGGGTCGGGGTAGTTATATAGTAATCCAAAGACCCTCTCAACTTCAGGCGCAACTTTCGTTGACTTGCTCTCCTGAGAAAACTGGAATTTCTCTTTATTCCATACCGTTTGTGGATATCTCAACGGCCTTGAACAGCTCTCGGAATTTGCCCTGTGGGTTTTCCCGATTGCTGGTGATTCTAAAAAATTCGCGAGAACTGACCGTAATCTGGATCAGGAAGGCCGTTTTCCATCGACTCCTTGGAGACATCCAACCGTAGGAGTTGAAAAATGTGGCAAACGACTCCCCTAACCCCATCATTTTTTGGCCGAAAATGGCACACATGAAAAAACCCTGCATCTATCTATTAACGTGGTTCGACGAGGCGATCGCGAATATTATCTGGTTTGTTCAGTTCGTATTCTGAAAAAAGTTGTGCACAACGTGAACGGAACAAATTCATTGTGCATGGACCGTATGTATGTACGTTTGCAAAAACTAGGAGAACTTTCTTGACTATGCGCTTCAACCGGAGACCGACTTGCGATGGTTTCTTGCTTTTCTGAAGAGTCATCTGTCGGACACAGGTCCCTGGCAAGCGAGCGCAACAAAACGTTCTCCCTCGGCGGAAAGGTAAACGGCCGGCTGTGGAGAAGAGGGGGGGGGGGAGGCTAAGCCACTCCTTCCAATGATGACCGCGACCATACCCAGTGGCCACGATGACAGTCGGGACTGCTCCCAAAGAACAGATCGAAGCGTCGGGGCGACCGGTGAAAATCTATCCCAAGGTTTCCTACTCATACTGATGCAGATACCACGCGATACCACGCGAGGTTTCCAACTCTTTTCAACATTCTGACATCGTGCGCCCCGTGTACTTGAACGTTTGTGGGGAGAGATTTATTATTTTTGTAGATCCACCTCAAGCCTCACCATCGACGGTGATAGCGACCATGACCAAGATGGGGAACACCCAGAAGGACCGGCCGAAGGCGTTGGGAGACCTGAGCACGAAGGCGCGGACCGTCAGAAACACCAGGAGAGATACAATTCCCGAGAAGATCGGAGACAGGACCCAGGACACTGCGATGGCAGCCACTCCCTTGACGTACGGAAAGCTGTCGGACTCCTGGAACCACACAACGCACCCCGCACCCCCGTAGACGACGGTCATTCCGATCATTGCGCCGATTGTGGCGTGGGTGGTGGAGACGGGTAGCGCGAGGTAGGACGCGAGCAGGAGCCACATCCCGGTCGTGTAGACGACGCACATCATGCCGTACATCAGCACCCCGGGGTTGTCCAGGAAGCACTCCACCTTTGGTTTGAGCAATGTTTTTTCGTGCACGAAGATATATCGTCTCGTAAAAACCGAAAATTGCTTAATTACTTGAGATTGCATGGAATACTTAAATTTGCCAGAGCAGTGGCAAGTGTGAGAGGATTCGTAGAAGAACTGTTCCTCCGTACACGATTGATTCCGCTGATCATACAGAAGCCGGGCTGCACTGACTGACACCTGGCACCAGGCAGGGCCATTCGTTGTATTTGCTGTTGAGAATGGATTTTTTCACCACCATCTATGACGAAGCGTAGGTGTGTGGGCAAGGGGATAGCGCTCTGTACGAGCGTCGACCCGCCCTAGGTTCAATTCTTGCAGCCTTGGTGATATTTGCACACAATCGCTGAGCGTCGTCCGAACAGCGTTTGCGCCCTGAATAATTGGTCTTGCCTCCACATTACCTGCCCAAAAACCAAACACATTCCCCAAACCTAAAGAAAGCCAATTGATTACATCAAACACCCCCCATGATAGTATTATTACGACACCAGTAACTTGTATTTTATTATTATCCATACGCAGTTTGAATAGTTGTTCCGGCAGCCAAGGGGCCGAATGAAGAGTTGGGGGAGAGGCGGGCGAAGTAACCATGTGACGTGCCGCATTGAAAAGCGGCGTTTCGATTGTGATGACACTGAATTTCTGAGAAGAAAGTGGTATGACAAAGAGATTCAATGCATGGGATGCTGCGTACAACGTGAACGACATGTACATGTCATTCAATTTTTTTTCTGTAGTACATAGGTCGGGAGAGGAAAAGTAGAGGCAGGGAGAGGATTTTTTCTGTACAGTAGATAGATAGAGGTACACTGAAATAGATAAATGTAGGTAACAAGGCAAATTATTTCTGTAAATAATGCTGGAAGGGAGAGGAAAATGTGTGAAAATTAAGTCCCAGGTATATAATGAATGAAATTATGTAGTACAAGGTCTCCAGGCTCGGGCGCCACAGGCGCCCTCGCCTTCAGGGTCAGGCTGAGGGATATGGGTGGTGCGTGCGAAGGCTGTGCACAGCATACCAAGGGCACGAAGCTGGCAAATGTACTACAGGCAAAGGGCAGCCTGCATTTTTCCCGGCGCTTGCATAATAATTTTTCGTTTTATTTTCTCTTTCCTTACATATTATTACTTCTTCCTTTTTATTTTTATTTTTCTCTTTTTCTCTCTTTTCTCTCTTTCTCTCTTTTTCTGTATCAGATGGCCTTGTCTCTGCTTGCGATGTGAAGTACCAAGATTGAACCAAGGGGGTGTACCTCTTTCTCTCCGGCCGGTGATAGTGACTCCTAGTCTCAGTTGATACCTCGCATGGCGCGCAGAGGGAGTGCATGGCGCGCAGAGGGAGTGGAGGACTCCAGGATATCTGTCGTTGTATTCTTTTGACTTGTGGAACCCCTCGGGGCCAGTCTATTTGAGTGTACCTTTTTAGGGTAAGTAAGTTAACCTGTGACCACGGGAATCGACCGCGTCGAGTGTTGGATCGGTACGGACATACGAAGGTACTGGGTAGAGAGAGATCGGAACGGTTTTTAATGTAACGACAACAACAACAACAACAACTGCTGTTACAATATATAATATATACTCCATCCAGGAGTAGTTTTACATTCGGGGTGTATGATTCAAAAGGTCTCCAGTAAATGTTGAAACAACTTTGCTGTGGGCTGCATTTCTTTCTGGGTCTTACATTTGCAGCAACTTTGATTGCGACATAACGAAGGAAAGTATTTGAACGTCACGTACTTTCATTTAATCCTCGGAGTGACCGTATCCATCCATGACTGGCTGCCCCATCATCACCCGCTAGTGCCAGGTTGCGTGTAGTACACTCGCTCGCTCGCTCGCGCGCTATTTAGTACAAAATACTGGTGGCCGGGTCAGGTCCGCATTATGTAGCAGTACAATCATCAGTCAGTATCCTGAGTTGAATTTTTTGTACATAAAAGTTACAGAATAATAATGTATCGTGACGGTTTTGAGTTTTTTGGTCCGAACAAAAGCGTACCACTTCTGTGTTGCAGACCCTACTGCTGTTAGTGTTTTGTGTGTATGTTGGAAAAATAAAGAAAATGTTGCACTTCTTACGGATGGATTCAGGTGGGTCCGCTCTCCACCGCTAACCCTACTAACTACTGTTGCAAGCTTACATCGAGGAAAAAATCTTTGGAGCAGGACAAAGCAGGGACTAACTCTGTGGTCGGCAGCTGGTGGTCGGTCATGGTTGAATGAGTTGACGTTTTCCAACAATATCTTGACCAACCAGCTGAAAGTTTTAAGAAGTGACAGTCCCTACCGTCGACGCGCCCGGATGCAGGAGATCTAGTCGCACTTCACGGTGCTGTAACTCGGCCCGCCCTTGGGGTCTAGAGCTTGCGACAGGGGCGCTGTGATCATGAGAGTGGCACGCCCACGTCGGCGAATGAACTCTTGCGTCTCAGGCTTCAGACATAATTGCAGTTAAGTCTACTTAAGGAAATTGGGTTTATGCGGGGCCCCACCTTCCAGGGCGGTCAGTCGGGTGAATGGACGCCATAATCCCGCATTGTCGTTGCATTCAAATGAACCGAGTGTAGTTGAAGAAGTAATGACCACGTTCGTTATGCGGCTCCGCTCCCAACACGCAGTGCGTCCCATTCTGCGCATTATAACTTTCCGCCCGCAAGAAGGAATAACATAGATATAGGTACGGAGGTCGTTCGGCAAACAACTCCTATCGACCCAAGCCTTCACCGGGATCGTTAGAGGGGCGCCGGCAGGTGGTAGTAGCACCCGCCCGTGTGCTTTCAGCGTCTCGCGAATGTTGGAGTCGTTATCTACATATATATAAGGCTCCCCTTCGGGATGTAGGTACAATGGCCTCCCGGGGGCAACGCAAGAGGAAATGGAAATTAATTTAGGGGTTGTATCGTAGCGTGCTGTATTATAGTGCTGGTGGCTGTATAATAAATCGCACGTATCATCGGACGGTGGAGGCGGGAGGGTAATTTTGATGTTAATGTTGTACAACTGCTGTTGGGCAGCTACAATCTCTATTATTCCCGTTCCGTAGGTGGTTGGGTTTGCCATAAGTTGAAGGTAGTTTTGTTGTTGTTGTTGTTGTCTTCACATTAAACCGTTCCGATCTCTCTCTACCCAGTACCTTCGTATGTCCGTACTGATCCCACACTCGACGCGGTCGATTCCCGTGGTCACAGGTTAACTTACCCTAAAAAGGTACACTCAAATAGACTGGCCCCGAGGGGGTCCGCAAGTCAATAGAAATCAACGAGTGTGCGGCACTTTGATAGGTTTGCTGAGGATGACCGGCTATTTGAACGTGTCCTGAATTTATTCCCGCTGAGATGCTCTGGAAGAAGGTATTATTTTGACCTGGGCCTGGGATGGGTACATATTATATGAAGAAGGTTGTTCGTTATTGGTCGATGAGTTGCCCTCGGACTGAAGAGCGCATGCTACGATCATGGAAGACGCGACGGGCGATACATCGCAGTAGGCATGCACCATCACCAATTTCGTCGACATTATGCCAGGACCCGTTCGTTGCTGCCAGAGCCACTGGAAGGGTTATTGCCGTTGTCATTTCCGTTGTTGTTGCCGTTGTTTTGGTCATCACGGTCGCCTTGGTTATTGTTATTATTGTGGCTGTCGTTGGTGCAACCGTGACCATGTAGTTGAATATCGAACACTGGTGGACGTTGTGCACTCTTCTGAGCAGCTATTACTATACCCCAATCTGCTACCCGAGACTGGCTGCATTGGCACTTCATATCAGCCGCGGCCCTGGCGGCTAATCGGCAATAAATAACGATTCAATCATTAGTTTGCACACGCAAACGAAGAGAATTAAAGATTCAACGAATTCCAAAAAAAAACAACAAAAAATAATAATAATAGTCAAAGATTCAACGAATTCCAATAATAGGACTAATGCTCAAATGTGATTTTAGATTATTGATGTATACCTATACCGGACAGAAATGGCCTGCCAAATGGCAACGAATCTCTGCAGTCCACCACGAACAATCCGAGAGGTCCGGCGCTTGCCAACTGCCAGATTGCTGTTGTGACGTACTGTTATGACGTGGCCACACCACATGGGGAGCTATCGCTTCCGACAAGCACACACCAAACGCGTACATGGCCTCTGTGCGGTATACTGACACGATGTGACACTTTGAATCGACCCTCGTCCGACGGAAAGCCGCCCATTCGTCTGTGCATTTGAAGTTCGACAACCCACGAGAGATTGCCCCACAGACCAACACATCCCACACACGTTTTTTTTCGGGACCAGTCACCTGCAACAACGATGCGCAGTCACCCTCCCTTTGGGTTGGCTTTTTGTTCTCTTCTCTCTTTCGTCTGCGCTCGGCGGTGGATGGAGTTCGTGCGGATGGGGGTAGGTGGGCACGCGCCGTGCATGCGAGTAGACCGTGGTCCCGCAACTATGGACGCTGTTCACCCAAATCGGGATCCGATTGAATGATTTCACCTTTTTTCAAATCCCGATTTGGTTTTGGGTCGTCCGGGGCTGTACATAGTTGATGTCGCATGGCATTGACACATCCAATGCTTGCACTGCTTGTGGTACGCGCTTGAAACAAACCGTAAGGACACATGATGAGATATCCATCCACGGGCGGACGGGGCCACTTTTTCGTTCTCTCTGTGTTCCACAGCAGTCTAGTATATAAGTCTCGACTACACATGCACACAACGGATGGATCCATCAGTCAATCTACTCCGTTTGGCAGAAAGACTCACGTTGACGATGTTCTCGCGGATGGCCTTGGTTACGGGTGCGCCCAAGAGTAGCGCGCCCAGGAACTCAAATACTCCAGCCAGTACTATCGCTTGCCTGCACGAAACGTCGGCGGGCTACGGGGCTGAATGACATGGTACCCTGTGGTATCTTGTGTTTGTTGTGTTTTGTGTCAAAAGACTGATAATTTTTTGCTTGCACGCTGAATTGCGCTGAACTCCACCCTGTGCTTGTGCGGTCTACTGATGACTCTTGGGTCGAAACAACAAAATAATTGTGGTAGATGCACCATGTTCGGACATACTTTAGAGTGACCGCCCGAGCTCCCACGGAAGTCGAGAAGGCGTTGGCAACGTCGTTGGCTCCTATGCCTGCACACATGGATGGTCGAGGGAGCGAACGAAAAAGCACCAGTAAAAACAACGACAAAAACGAGGTGTGTATGAAAATACAAGGAACGCAACAACAGTTAGTTACAAAGCAGTGTCGGTATATTGTCTTTGTGATGACTCGTGCAAATCGTCTTCTCCATAACGTCTCCTCGTGCATCCATGTCTTTGCACCCCTTCTCGGGAATCGACGAATGCTTCTCGGCAAGGTGGCAGCGCGCCATTCGGAAGTCCTGCCGCATGCCACGCATGCATCATGCAGCAACCTGTATGGGTGCACAATAAAATACTCTGAAGTGCACTGCTGTCCAGTATTCTGACATACCATTTACTACGAGACCGTCAATCAACGCACCGAAAGCAGCCAAGAAGCTCCCGAAAGCTCCGACGACGACGATCCAGAGCCATTGATCCGAAGCCTCTGGGGCTAGCATTCGCGGCTGAAGAGCTTCGCTCATCGCGGTGGAGGCACACGGATTTTCCGAAGATTTCGCCCTTGGGAAAGTATCGAAAATATTGGCGATTTGGTATTATTTCCTTCTGTGTCAGAAAGCAGCGGAGCACCCACTTCACAGCAGGGAGGGGCGCTAGCTTCTCGCCTTTTGCTCTTGTCTGCAGGCAGAGAGCCTTGCGAATGATCTCGAACACTCTTTTGACTTCGAGTTCGCAGTTAGTTGCAGCTGTCACCCCTGAGCAATAGGAGAGGCGTGTGGGTGCCTTCAGGTCACGATTGTTTCTGGTTCCGGAAGTGTTGAGTGCGTGTGTTGGACGATGAGGCGTATTCTATGTGGGTGTCACGAAAGATTTGGAACTTTACGCCGTGCGGCCTTTCACGACCCTTTCGAACAGGATTCAAAAATATATCCTGGTACATGTAAACGCGGCAACCCCACATCCAACATCACCAACCAACCATGCACAGGCAGTCGGCATACACAACACAAAGAGAGTCCACGCGACCACAACCACAATGAGGCGAGAACGCGCAATATATCTGCTGAGAATGAATGCACACACAAGATGGTCCCGCATCACGCCGAACCCATCTGCAGAGCACCAACAATGCTTCTCAGCAGCAGCATCGACAATATCTGAATATGTACATAATATCTGAATCTTGAACGACCGGGGGAAAATATTTGCTACCGGTTGCTGCACGCAGCAGTCTACGTGTAGAATTTTGCTACAGGAATGGGAAGATTAAAAGCAGCACAGATCAGCTCCTGTCTACCTATCTATCTAGTCTACTGCTTGCTGCCGTATCTGTGCATACCTCGGGTAGGGCCCATAGGCTATGGATTCATGCCGTACGCCGGATCGACAGATCAGTCATTTTCACCAAAAATGTTGTCCCACGTCCCCGAGAAAGTACTCCCAACGTACTCCGAGTCGGGGGAATCGCGAATAGTATCTCTGAAACAGCAGTTTGTTCGGAAAACTGTTGTTGCTGTCTTCACATGAAAAAACATCCCGGTCTCCGCTCGGACGATGAGGCGTATGCTATGTGGATGTCACGAAAGATTTGGAACTTTTGAGGGTCGTCAGATAAAGAAAAGAGTCGGATCTAGTCTACCCAAATCCGGACAGAAATGGCCTGTGTGTCTTAACGGGAAATCTGCCAAATGGTAACGAATCTCTGCAATCCACCACGAACAACCCGAGAGGTCCGGCGCTTGCCAACTGCCAGATTGCTGTTGTGACGTACTGTTATGACGTATCCACACCACATGGGGAGCTATCGCTCCCGACAAGCACACACCAAACGCGTACATGGCCTCTGTGCGGTACTGACACGATGTGACACTTTGAATTGACCCTCGTCCGACGGAAAGCCGCTAATTCGTCTGTGCATTTGAAGTTCGACAACCCACGAGAGATTGACAACCCACGAGAGACAACCCACGAGAGATTGCCCCACAGACCAACACATCCCACACACGTTTTTTTTCGGGACCAGTCACGTGCAACAACGATGCGCAGTCACCCTCCCTTTGGGTTGGCTTTTTGTGTTCTTTCTTTCCTCTGTGCTCGGCGGTGGATGGAGTTCGTGTGGATGGGGGTAGGTGGGCACGCGCCGTGAATGCGAGTAGACCGTGGTCCCGCAACTATGGACGCTGTTCACCCAAATCGGGATCCGGTTAAATGATTTCACCTTTTTTCAAATCCCGATTTTCTTCGTTAAGACCGACTCAGTACCTTCCAATGTCCATACTGGTTCAACTGACATGGTAGTATGCAGCGTAGTATGAAGATAAATATCCAGATATCTGGAGATATCAGATATCGATACAATAGATTGGCTGCCGGCGGTTGTCCGAAGAGGGCATCTTCAAACGGTCCGTCGCAACGGCTAGCGTGCCGACTGCCAGTTGTTCGTTATCCGACCCTAACCGAAAGGAATTTCTCCGACCCTGGCTTCTCCAGCAATATATTCACAGATTATATGGAGACGTGTGCATTCATTTTCACCGAGGTGACGAGACAGAACAGCAGCGGGGTCTGCACCTTTCTCTTCGTGTTCACGCACCCACGCTCCACATTCATTTCCTCCTGCGCGGTGGTTGCCTCCAAGGCCTTAACCAAGACGGGTTCAGAAGCCCCTTTCCTGGTCGCGCGTGAGGAATGATACCCTCGTTTTCTTCAAAACTACGAGACTTTTCACTCTGGAGCGAGTCGGACCGGCGGCCTGTTGCAGCCACGAGGTTTCGCGGGTTTCCTTGCGTGAATGCCGCATTTCATCAGTTTCGTTTCGTGACGAAGACATCATTCAAAACCATCCCCGAAACCGCGATAGGATGCTAGCTTCCGCTGTGACGACGGAATCAAACCCTCGGAACGGGGTCAATTCCGAGATTAATATGGTTCCGGCAAACAGAAACAACGGCAGATCGATGATACACGCCGTTTGTACAGGCCCTGCTGAATCTCGGGATTGAGAGCCGTTGAAATCTACCGCTGCACGGCAGTGAAAAACGAGTGCGCCCAGAACCAACGCAGGACAGGGCACACGTGCATCGTGAACCATTGAAACAAGGCACCAAACCAAGGCCACATGCTGTACAACGACCCTCGTTTTTCATCTACCTCCAGTAAATAAAAAATATCGACGCGATAACTGTCTACCACGGAAGCGAGTCTCTCCTCAGCAGCTGCCGTAGCGCGGCATCGTACGGAGCGTAGAAGTCTCGCAGCCGCCGGCGTACGCCTTCGTCCATCGGGGGATAGTCCCTGTGGTTCTTTGGGGCTTTGTCCTCCACCGGCGAAGGGGGGAGCCCGACATGCTCGAAAACGCCGTCCATGGCCTCTTGGAGCGAGTCTTCGGACTATTCGCGGAGAGAGAGAAAGGGGACGGATGGCGTGGGGAGATGGTTAACGCGTGACGGTTTCACTTTGGGGAGGTTAAGCAAGAAAAGGACGGGGGGGGGCAGGGACGTTGGAACAAAAAAAACAAGCGTATTGCTGTAGACGCATGCAGAGTGATAAATTCACATTTGACGCGTGTTGCACGCAAACAACACCCCGCCCGTTGGAGACTCTGGAAGTGAAAGCACCAGAAAAAAGATTAAGTCATACACAGCTGTCATCCGTACGCAAGCAAGTAAGCACAAGATACCGAACACCCTTAGCAGGATGCAGAGCACCCTTCATGCGACTTGCCGAATACCTCACGGCGCTTCGCGCTTGGTGATGTGAGAGCCTGGCCCGGTGAGAACCCGGCGTGCTCCGTCCCGGCTTTGTAGGGATGCGAGGTCAATGGTCTAACGGCTACGGCATGCACGACTATGAGTACCCCTCCATCCCCCCCCTTGAAGATTCATTTCTGAGCCACCTTTGGCAAAGTAGGAAAGATAGATTGGCCATCGGTGATCGGTCCTGTGGGAACAATGCTCCGTCCTCTCGAGGACGCGTGGTCAATGGTCTAACCGCTAAGGCATGCAAAACATACGAGTACGCCCCCCTCCCCTTGGAGATTCCTGTATATATGGCCCCAGGCCTTCAATAAACGCTTTTAGGTGCCTGGGAGCGTGGGTGCAAGGTCTGCATGCATGTGCCCCCCAACACAAACACGAAAAACAAACACGTCCAAAAACAAGTGGACATAACGCCCCAAGCCCTCCGGCCTCTCGCTCACCTTCACCACTTCCTCGAGGAATAGGACCTTGATCTGATCCCGGCCGAACGCCTCAAGCCACGGCTGCAACTGCAACGCGTACAGGCCTCGCCCCAACAGGCTGAATATGCAAGAGTGGCGTTGGAGCACGCGGGGGGTTGTAGTGATTGATTAAAAATGTCCCGACGAACGTGAGGGGCCCAACCGAGAGGGGCGCCGTTCGGAAGCGAGCGTTGCGGCAGAGTGAAACACCACAAAACGAGCTTTTCGATCCTTGGGTTGCAAGTGAATGGGGGACCACCTTGAGCCTTGCATACAGAAAAAGGGAAACAACACCTGACGGCTTTCTCGGTTCTTGTGATGCAAGGGAAGGGAGGCGATCCGGTTGGGAGGTGAGCTTTGCAGCAGAATCAAGGAACACACACCGAGGGGGTATGTCGTGTACACGACGGGCAAATCAAATCCCTTTTGTGCCGACATACTCCGGATGGACAAGCCAGTTTTCAACGATGGCCACCAAACTGTCTTACGGAGCCTGCTACCCACAACATCGGTAATTGCTGCTCGGGGAGCCGTAGAAATACAAGTTGGTCACCGTACAACACTACGAAGTCATTGCTAATCTACCTTGACTGTGATCTGTCGAAGAGATGAATTTGGTGTGCTTCAGCAAGAGAACAAAAAAAAGCAACTAACCTGTGACCTCCGTAGGGTCGTGTGCGTATTGAGCCTGTTACCCACAATATCGCGAACTGCTGCTCGGGGAGCCGTCGAAATACAAGTTGGTCATCGGACAACACTACGAATTCATTGCTATTCTACCACGGACTCGTTTTTTCTGGAAGAGATGGGCATAATGTGTCTTCAGTAAGAGAACAGAAAAATCACCATTTCTTGTGTTTAAGCACTAACCTGTGCCCTCCGTAGCCGTTTGGTCGTGTGCTGAGGTAGTCCCTTGCGAAGTCCCCCGGGGAAGTTGCGGGGCCGACACCGGCTTTCTCGAGCACCGCTCTCTCCTCCTCGACGACCTGCTCAAAGGTCTTGCTCGTCCAGCCTCCTCCGCCTGACCGACAAAAACAAGAACTGTATGAATTTTTTCTCGTCGTATATCGAAAGACGGCACTCCAATCAGAACCATGCGTTCTATCTTCAAGCCACCCCCGCCTCACAAAAAAAACAGAAAAGATGAACGAACACGATATTGCGAAAAAAACAGATGACAAAAAAAAGACAGCAATCCTTTAGAGTTCACTGCAAAGACTTCAACGCGCCCCCTTCAACGGTGGAATTGTTTCGGACGGGTACAATTTTTCTGTCATTTTATACATGGGCGTATACTAAAACAAGACACTTTGCCGAGAGGGGACGTTTCAGGACCAACCCCGGCAATCGCGAGGCACAATCTCCTCTACATCTCCCCCACAACCTGCTCGCAAGCTAGTGTGATCCTCACCCTCCTGTCCCATACAATAGTGGTCCCCACATGCCGCGGAATAGAAAAATACAGATTTCACCACGTTATTTCGGGACACGCGCTATTGGAGGAAGGTCCCTGAATGGTAAATAAACAGCAGGCTAAGTTGTTTCGCCAAAGGAACTATTTTCCCTGAAAAGTAACTTACTTAGTCATCGAGAGGAGAAACCAAGAGCAAATAAAATGACTAAAAGACGCACGCACCTGCGAACCAAAATGGTCTCACAAAGACACACAAGAAAAAAAAAAAACAGAGTAGCAGGCTAGTTTGTTGTGTCAAGGATTTTTTCCCACGATATATATATATACAAGGTCTCCCTTCGGGACGGGTGTCTACCCTCCCTCAGGTGGCGCAAGACCACATACGCATTGCCCGAAGAGGGACTGTATGTCTTACAACGCTGGTATTTCCGCACAAAACATCGCGCACGTTGTTATATTCTACATTGATTGGAGCCAGCTCGAGTGGACAATATTTTGGCAGCGAAAACTCAGACTTCCATGATGTCTTTGATTGATGATGGCAGGTTTCCGATGGGAACCGCATTTGAAGCCGAAACAACACCACAAATGGGATGTTCAACACTGCGGCTGGATGCACGCTCTCAGACTTGTCTAAACTTGGCCCGCTGCGAAGTGTAGTAAACGTAGGTACTGCTGTTGGACAAAATGCGATGACATGAAGAGTCACAGCCATGAATCATCGGATGAATGAATGAATGTACGAATGAAAGTGGAGAAGCAAGAGGCAAATATTTCAAACCGTCGTAGTTAAATGGGTTTGATAGGTTTCAGAATTGGTTCGCCAGGCTTTGTCAGCGCGGAACGCGTCCCCGGGGTTTTGAGCCAGTTTTCGCAACTTTGGCCGTCAACCACACGCGTCACGGAGGCCTACCGAGCTCCGGGCGCGGGCGTTAATGTACCGACGAGCCTCCTGCGTGCCGCTGAGAAGGAATTGCGATAATAGGCTCGCTGCCGCGAAAGAAAGAAACGCCGAAGCATGAAAAGTGACCAAATCTTATATGTACATATATATCGGCAACCGCGCGCTGCTCGGAACCGCGATATATCGGGACCAAAACTGCACCTCGACTCCTCAGCTGCGCAGGGGTGCCCTCTGGGTCAACCGCCATGTGGTAGTGAGAGTACGCCCGTTTCACGGGGTCCCTCAGCATCACCAGGAGGCGTGTCTTCCCGGCGACGTTCTTCAATCGAGGTATGACCAGATCTCTGTAGTAAATCACACACACACCCCGGGCCGCCGAAGGCAAGGGAACGGGACGGGCAGGACGAGCAAAGTATTTTGGGCTTGCTGTTGAGGATTTTGTGAAAAACGTTCACACATAGAGAGAGAGAGGCCCACCGTGGAGGCATGGCTATCAATATAGTAGCAAGCGACAAGCTTAAACTTCATATCAGGAAAAAAGTCTTCGAAGAAATGGGTCGGGTAGACAGTCCGAAAAACATACAACAACGTGGCGTGCGTAACCAAAGACGCTTACACTTGGAGAAAACCGCGGGGAGGCAGCCAGATTAAGGCAATCAGAGGGTCGGCTAATACGTCATATATGCCCGACGGGACACTGTTGACGCAGATTCGGGGCGAAAATCATGGTGTTCGGCATTGAGTGTGCCCCGCATCTGGCGGCCATGTGCTGTGACGTCATCCACGCGGATAGAGAGGAGGGCAACAGCGTTGTACCTGAATTCGAAAGTATCCCCGCACCACATAGCGCGAACCCTTGGATATCAAGAAGAACCTCACCAAACAAAAACCTACAAATAACAACCAATTGGGAAGTAGGTGTTTTGGTACAACAGCGTAGCCGACACCGGCATCACGTGGGATACATCGAAGGAAACGAAATTGCCATCTATTAATTCGTTCCAAAACCGCCTCTCATCTGTCTTACCCGCGCAATAGATATGACGGGGTCGACTCCCCAGTCACGATGGAAGGATGGGATTTCAGTTCTTCCGCGTAGAAGAACGCCATGTCTGAACGCGGTCATGAGAACGATAGAGGAAGCGGAAGGGAAAAGCGGGGACCAGGGAGAGAGTAACACGTCACCCATGGACCGCAAGACACCACAAGCGATAGAGAAACAAAGGCAGAGACGTGCAGACGGAAAGGCCGATAAGGCAGAGGAGAGAGAGAGGGGGGCGGGGGGGGCGGGCATAGAGACGGAGTGAAAGCAGCCATGTAAGAGGGAACTCACACACTGACTGCCGGCTAAAAGGAAACGACGTGAACCTCCGCGGGTGAAACGGCTTTTGAGGTACAAGCGAGGGGGAAAAGTCGCTCGAAAAGACGGGCGACAACACAAGGTAAATCATGGGCAGATTACACCGTACCGTCTTCGGACTAGGTCCCTTGAAGCCTGTCTCTCGTATGGAGTAATATAATTCCTTTCGTCTTGCGAACACAGCAAACACCACCACCACCAACAACAACAACAATAACAACAATGGCAACAACAACAACGACAACAACGCCACCCGACTGCGACAAGTTGACTCGTCCGGGTCTAGAATGAAGACACACAATCCCTGCGTCTTGCGCACACCACGAAAAAAAAACAAAAACAACAAGAAAACTCACAAGATTCTCGCAGCTGGTCCACCGTCAGCGACTCCCCCTTCGCCGGCCAAGCCCAGTCGAAGAAGTGCGTCTCTCTGCGCCGACCGCGCGCGACGAGCGGGTGCTGGTTGAGGCACTCGTAAAGCAGGGTCGTCCCGCACTTCTGTCCGCCTAGGACTACGAAGGCAGGGTCCGGCCCTTGTCTCGTGACCAGACCCTCAACGTCGATGCTTCTTCGCGTCTGTACAAGCTTGGACCCCGGGGCGAGCCGTACGAAGTCCAGGGGGTATTCCTGTCGAGGGGGGGGGGGGGGGAGGGTCGAGGGGAGTCGTGGAATCGTGGCCAGCAGGAAACCAAAACAATAACAGTAGAGGTCCCTGTTTAAGGCCGCGCATTTAAGGCCGGTTGCCCTGTCTAAGGCCGGTTGAATCGCTACTAAGCACACATGAAATATTCAAGTTGTCTCGTGCCATGAATAGTGCCCGGTGCCCGGTTGTACAAGGCCGATGCTGTTCCATGGACCAAAGCGGCCGTAAACAGGGACCTCTGCTGTACCAGGTGGTACCGTGTAGCAGCAGATCTGCAAGCAGGCGACAAAAAAAAAAAAACTCACGTCGACATAGTCCAGGATGAGGTGCACGCGATTTCTGGACCACCGGTTGGTGACGGCGTGCTTGGCCTGGTTGTTGAACTCCACCACCCTGCCCTCATCGAACATCACCTTCCTCATGTGTTTCGGGTCAGGCCCAACCAAAAAGTCGACCTTCGGGGAGGGGGGGCGACGGCGATTCACACAGGGGGAGGTGGGGGCTCATGTAATCGCATGCCATCGTCGTTACATCATTGGCCTCGCATCCCTACAACCCCGGGACGGACCGATAGGCTGGGTCCACAGAGGGGGAGGGGTTTTGGCTGTCAGACCATTGACCACGCGTCCTCGAGAGGACGGAGTACTGTTCCCACAGGACCGATCGCCAATCGAGGCGCGGGGGTGTACTCATGCGTAGGTTCTGCATCGTACGGCGGGATGCAAGCAAGAACAAACAAAGGCCACCAAGTAGTCACACGCGCGCCTCCGCGTGTGTGCGATGCCGCTTGCTCTCCCTCACCTCGCTCACGTCGGTGACGACCGCGACGTGCACCCGGTGCGTGTGCTGCACCCAGTGCCCGGTGTCGTGATGGACGGGTATGACGCACCCGGGGGGCATCGAAGCCAGCAGGCAGCGCACCATTTTCTCCTCCGGTATGCCAAGCACGTCCAAGACCGGCTGCAACGCCTGAGGAGAGGGGGGTGCAACAAACGGTGGGAAAATGGGGGGGGGGGGGGGGGAAATTTAAAACTTCATACTTTTCAGAAGGGGGGGGTAGTAGGCAGCGCAGCAAGTAGGGGGCCAAGCACGTCCAGGGCGGGCTGCGAGGCCTGAAGAAAAAGGGGGTGTGCAGCAAACGGTTAAAGAAAGGACCGCCCTCGCGAGGATTTTACTATAAGTATATGAAATAGAGAGGGGGGTCACGTATCCCTAACCTAACTCCCTACAAAAACCAACATTATTGTCCTCGTGGAGGCTACTGTGGCGGCGGGGGGGGGGGGGGGGTACTCCTAATCTTGCATGGCCTAATCGTTTGACCATTGACCTCCCATCCCTACAAAGCCGGGACGGAGCACGCCGGGTTCTCACCGGACCAGGCTCACATTCACCAAGCGCGAAGCGCCGTGAGGTATTTGGCGAGTCGCATGAAGGGTGAGCTGCATCCTGCTAAGGGTGTTCGGCATCTTGTGCTTACTTCCTTGCGTACGGATGACAGCTACGTATGACTTAATTTATTTTCTGGTGCTTTCACTTCCAGAGACAGTTGTAAGCACTGTGTAACTGCCTCGAGGAAGCTTGACCATTTTAACACAACGTGGTGCGATCATCCCCCGTTGCGCGGAGTGAGGTTTCTCGACCCCGCACAACATGATCTACTCGACCACCATTATGGTTACCGCAAAAAAAAAAAAAAAAAAAAAAGGCGGCGGGGGGGGGGGGGGGGGGCAAACCTTGACGGAAGAGGACGGGGACAGCCAGCCCCCCCAGCGTGAAAGTCCCCCCCCGACCTCAAAACGTGTGATTGTTGTATTCCCCCCTGCGCTACTTGCTCCTGGAGGCAAAAACACCGCCAAACGAACGCTA